AGAAAATCCTAAGGAAAACAATAGACTAAGAGTGCCAAAAGCTTCTAAAGGTAGTGATTTATCCAATATTTATAGGTGAAAGGTTCCTTGAAGGAACTGTCTTGGCCATTGATTTAATCAAGGGTGTAGATTTCATTAGTTGCTTCTAATGAGTGACGTTGCTCCTGTCAAGTCAGCCCTAAATTTCTTCTTCTAAGCTTCTTTTATGTATTTTTTTTTGCTGTATTTTGGTGTTGTGATGCTGCAAGGACACTGTTCAATTCTCCGCTTTGCTCCGTTGACGTGTCAACTCCTAGTTGGTTTCTTTTTCTGGAAAAAAAAGATGCTAGCACAATGTTTTTTTTCTGCTCCTTGTGTCTTGTTGTCTCTCTTTTGTATTTCTTCTTTCTTTTTCTCGAAGTTTGTTTTAATTCTAAATTGGGCCTCTTCTAAATGGTCATTGGGCCTCCTGAAAATGAGAAACATTTTTCAGGAATTGCACAGAACTGCGAGTTGCTCCCTGATTTCCAAATCTGCTAGTTGCTACAGCTGTGTTTAATCATAAATTGCTCCTGAAGACAAACTTGGAATAAAACATCAAAACTTAATAGCAAAAAAGGAAATTTAAGAGCATATAAACAATGAATGGATCTCAATTTTTGAGAACCATCAACAAAAGCTAACTCAACCCCAAAATTTAAATTGTTAGATGGAGATATTTTACTTTTTTTATATTATATAATTCCTTAACAAGTATATGTAAATATTAGAGATAAAGGTTGAGATAATTTTTGGAAGGGAAAAAAGTGTTTACTTTCATAAAGAGGTGAGGCCCACAACTTTAAAACTTTTTCTCCTCACTCTCTCTCCAATGATTTATCTCTTTCTCTCATTTAAAATGATACAACTTTATATCCTTTTAAATGATACACATTTTCCCCCTTTTGGAAAGATTACAAATAGACATCTCAAATAAAAAAGTTGTTGTAAAATAATACATTTTTAAAATTTATGAAATTCTATACAAGCTTATATAATGACAAAAAGCTAAATGTTGTAATATTTCTCATGCTAGAGGAGAATTTTATCTCCTGCACATATATAAAACTCCGTAAGAGATATTTCATAAACATAAAAACATTAATGCCAAAGTTAAATTTGTATTCAATCTTTTGACATGTAGTTCCCAATGTGAAAGAGAACCAATATCTAAACTAGAAGGTAATCATAACGTCGACGACGACACCCTAGCTAGGGAAAAATCTTGAGGGACATATGGTCGGGTGCCTAAGGCGAGGTTACGTGGGTCCTCAAAGGGACTCCATCTTGCTGCAAAATAGCAGAAACACCAATCATTCTTGCTGAACTATTGCTATTTGCTAGCCAGAAAACAAATCAGGGGACAAAAAAGCAATAACCAACGGTACACATAAGGTTAAAATATATAAATTAAAAAAAAAATCCAGCTAGCTTATAACATTTGATACGTCAAGATTTTTAAAAGCTTTATTTTATTTAACATTTTATTTTAAATTTTTTGACAAGTAACTCAAATACACTGATTAACATTGTCCAATAAAAAAAAAATATGGTAGTGATTTGTAAAGATATTGTCCACCCCACCACTACCCTCATAGATTCGCTGATCCACAACAAAACAAAATCCCTCGAACTAGGAATTTGTTTCAAATCTCTTACCCAATTTCCCTGCGCGCCGCAGTCACCGTTTGTTGTGTCGCGCATGCGTATATATATATATACTAACTATTGAAATTTCTTTGCATACACGTAGTCGCAAGCAATAAGCACATGAACCAAAGAATTCCAGATACACGTAATAATGGTATTATGTTTTTTCTATGGGCAGGTACACCAGGATCAGACAATTATTTGGACCATATAAATGTTGCTTTGGATTCTGCAGTCTCTTTTGGCCCAAGAAATGTACTTCTCCGTAATATTGATATGTGGTGCTCTAATTTGAAACTTTTAATACCAATTATGATTTATAATGAATATTGGCTTCCTAAGGGATTTGGGGGCTTTTTAAATTGGTTTTCTTGTGTGCATCATTGCTGTACATGTGAAAGGAAAACTTTGGGATAGATATAAAAGATCTATCATGGTGGGGGCTGATCCCTTGAATTGGACCTAAAGAACCAAATTGACTGCACCCATAACGAGGTATAAGTGTTCGAATTTTTGACCAACATCATATCGCGGACCACATGCATATATATATAACTCATATGTAACCAATTAGAAGCCTAGTGATATATTCTATTGTATGCATGGGGACAGTCTACATTAACCGGAAAATATCTACAGCTTATATAAACCAAATATTTTTAGTTGGACTATATATGGTTTCATTTTCAGTTACATGCTTTCTCTGTTTGGCAGATTACCCGCTAGCTTGTGCCTTCGATCCATGCATGGATCAAATAATAATTAATATATAGTGGCTTTTTATATATATCCATGCACGGAATATAGCTCAAAACAATTTGGAAATTAAGAAAGTAAAAAAGTGGGTTAACGTTATTGATACCCTCTTAACAAAACAGGAAAGGGGAAAAAAAATAATCGGAAGAGGATGAGGAGTATCTAATTCTAAGGAAAAAATTTTACAAAATTTTTCATAAAAAAAAAATCATCCTAAAAAATTTCCCGCTTTAAGTGTTTTTGAGAAGAACGACTCCAGCTTTTAAATTTGTATGGTGTTGCTTGGCCTTTTCTGAACTTTCATTTGGTTTCTTTAAGAAAAAGAAAGAAAGAACAAAAGAAGATAAAAAAAAAGCAACTTAGGTGTAGGAAGTGAAAACACGTAGCTTGAGAATGAAGTTTGTTCACAGTTTGAAGTATTTCTATCTCAAAAGGTGATACTTCTTGTTAATTTACAAGATACCTACTATTGTACAAAGGCATATGCACGGCATGTGCATATACATGGCAAAAAGCCAAGAGGCTACACTACCGCATTATTGAGTTTGTAATCATACGCACTGAAATCTTTAGCTCTGCACATGTCATGCTGTCGTAAATTTATATTATATGTCAAGTTATTCTTACAACAAAGTAAAAATAATAAGTTTTACACTATTGATTCACTTGTATCAAATAACTTATAATTAAAATATTATAATTGTCCCATATAAATAAGATGAACAAGTAAGATTAAAAATATAAACAATGATGTAAAATAGTTCAAATCTTATTGTGATATCATGTAAAATTATAGCGATTATAAGTCCAAGGAGTGCTTATAATTGTGTCTCTTTCATTGGTTTATCGCTCATAACTTTCATGATATGTTAGAAGTCAGTATAAACAAATTATCCTCCGGATGGTGCTTTTGGCTCTAACTGTTTCATCTTTACGTGACCCTTTACCTACAGACAGCAGGCACCCAATGCATGATTCTACACTCCATAGCAGAAGCTAACAAGTAACAAGTACCTAGAAGGAAGATAAGCACTGAGTAGCAATGATAACTTGCTTATGATTGAAATAATAATCCATCTTTGTACTAAAGCAGACAGAAAACGACCACCCAATGAAAAAAGAAAAACATCCACATCCACTCATCACAAGAACGAATTAACTAGCTACGAATTCAGGTGAACGCAGTAATTAACATGGGCACACACACACACACACTTTATTCGCCTGACATTGCATGTACTTTGGTTCCTGTAGAGTGGGGTGTGTTCCTCACGCCAACTATATCCTACATGTTATTCATCTTCTATACTTATTGCATAAAGATAGCATCCTCGTTTCTCTTTCGGGTGTCACCCTTATGATGAAAGCTTTTCAGTTTATTCCCTAGCTAGATTTTAAACCAACCCGCCTAGTTGTGGAATATAAGTTCAAAGTTTGAATTTAACACTGGTATACTAATTTGAAACAAGAATAAAGATATAGATAGATATTATATTAGACCAATAATAGGACTAGAAGAAAATTGCAATACAGTGATGACATAAAAAACTTTCATTTATTACGGAGCACATGGGTCAACTGGTAAGAGATTCTTCTAGTTTAATTATAGTCACTACTAGAAAAATCCTATATAGTGAGGGAATTGCTATGCAAATTTCGTCGCTAATTTCATCCTCTCTACTACTTTTCCTCACAAATTCCCTCGCAAAATCAATTGAGAAAATACAATTATGTTAAAATTTGATTGGGAAAACTTTACCGTCCATATCATCTTAGCCGCCCAATTTGAGTAATCGATGAATAATAAATAGATAATGTAAAAAAAAAAAAACGTTCTATTTTTTTTTAATCTAATTTGGGTAAGCAAAAATTGAAGAGTAGATAGAGGATCTAACCCAAAACTGAAGGCTTTGATTTTAGAACATAGGGTTATTTGTCTAGGGAAAGAAAGAAAGAGGGCACATGAGAAGCATGGGCGCGTGTGAGAAATGAGAATATATCCCTTGCTTGTGGGAGGAGGTTGAGTGGGTCCAATATATGGGTGTGTGGGGCTTACAAGTAGAGTGCTCTTTCGGTATGCGTTCTTTATCGGGGACCCAAATATTCTCACCCTCTGTCACGTCAGATCATGAAGCTATTGTTACAATTCAAATCACCATCAACGGTTGTCATTCTGCCAAGTCAACAACAACTAGTGACTGTGACCAAATCCAAACGTCCATTTTGTCAAGTGAAGATTTAGTACTAGTGAGACAAGTTAAGGCCCACCATTGTTGTCACCGACGGGGTTTAACATTCTAGCTGAGGGACAACATGGCACCCTCTTACTCACTAGCCTCACCTTTTTCTTCCTTCTTATTCGCTGTCTCGTCCCATGTAGCAACCACACACACATACCACACCATACCCTCTCTTCTCCATATCTCTTCTCACTTAAACACCTACAACACTTCATAGCTCAAGTCCCTCTTCTTTCTCCGTGCAATGCCATTCACAAACTGTTACAAGTAGTGGCACTTTAGTTTAACAAAGTACATTGTTCCATCAGAGGAAAACAGGGTCCCGGTTCACTGTTAATGGGTTTATCTTCATTGCATGTCTGCATGGAATCATCAGATCATTGGTTGCAGGTATATCATGCACGTCAAAATGTATATTACATATGCCTCTAATTTTCTTTATCATCAATTCTCATATGTCTTCCGCATGAGAGAAGCACATTGGTGGATGGTGATTTAAACTCACATTGATCCCTCATACTTATCAGTTCTCTCACATTAATTGGCAAGAGAGTTTTTGCTGAAGGTTACTAGTTAATCATAGTTACCTTGTTATATATAAAGTGTCTTGCACTACCTCTCTGTCTTGCATTATGAGTTCGACAGGAGTGTGTTATGGTTCAAAGGGAAAGGGAAGAAAAAAAAAAGAGAAAGCCAAGGAAAAGAAAATTATTAGGAGTAGCTAGAAAGAGAACAAAAAGAATAATGGAAAGAAAAAGACATCTACATTAATATCAAACAAGACAAATTTTATAGTACGTAACACATTTTTTCCCTTATATCATTATATTCAGTTCTTGTTTCTTTTTTATGCAAAATTATGTCAGGGCACAATTCACGAGGATTCAGGAATGGATTCTTCATCACCATCTGGAGACATGCTTACATGCTCAAGGCCACTGATAGAGAGAAGGCTAAGACCACCTCATGACCAAGCTCTAAAGTGTCCAAGGTGTGATTCAACCCACACCAAATTCTGCTACTACAACAACTACAGTCTCTCTCAGCCAAGGTACTTCTGCAAGACTTGCAGAAGGTACTGGACCAAAGGAGGCACTCTTAGGAACATCCCTGTTGGTGGAGGTTGCAGAAAGAACAAGAAAGTTTCTACCAAGAAATCCAATGACCAATTACCTAATAATCAAAACCAAGCTCAACAACCAGGTCCCTCCTACCATCACAACCCCAAAGATCTTCAACTTTCTTTCCCAGATATGCAATTTTCCCACCTCAGTAACTTACTTGGGAGTAATGCTGGAGCATTGGGAAACCCTAATTTCATGGATAACAAGTATAACATTGGTATGTTCGAGAACCATCCTAGGCCTATTGACTTCATGGAAAATAAGTTGGAAGGCATAATTGGGAGTAGTTCTAGGAATTTTGATTTTTTTGGAAATAGTGATATGGGTATGGCTGTTGGGTTGGGAGACATGAATGGTACTACTCAAAATGGAATGTCACCAAATTTTCACAATCTTTGTTCTCCTGCATTTGGTGGCATGTCCCTTGATCATGGTAACAATATAATTAATAATGGGGCTTACTTAATGGACTCTTGCCAGAGGCTAATGCTGCCATATGATGCTAAGGAGGACCATAATGCCTCAATTGATGATGTGAAACCAAACCCTAAACTATTGTCCCTTGAATGGCAAGACCAGGGTTGCTCTGATGCTGGAAAAGAATCATTTGGGTATCTGAACGGTCCAGGATCATGGACTGGCATGATGAACGGCTATGGATCTTCCACAACAAATCCTTTGGTCTAAAATGGAAAATCTAAGCTCTCTCTTGGCTGGGTTAATTTGATCAATCACTTTACCTATATATATTTTATTTTTATATAATATTATATATATATATATATATATATATATACATAAGTTAAGCCTTTTGAAGGGAGGGTTCCTCGTATTTTCCTATGTAGTGTTGGTGGTTTTCAGGTTCTATTGACTTAACCAAGACAGTGTGAATGAGAAGCTTCAGAGTCCAATTCGACTGCCTTGGTGCGTTACCTTTTGGTTTATATATATATATTTGTGTCTTTGTGTGCGACACGTCATGAAAGCTTTAGGATTTATATATGATGTAACATCGAGGAAGATATGGTAGTTCTTTTCCAGTTAAAGAAAATGCAGTAGTACTATATATATTATTATCTTTATGGAAACCCTTTGTCTCTATGCTTGTGGGGTTATTATTTATGTCCTTAATTACTAGTACTGCTCTGACATATATCTTCATAAGACATTTTAAATCATTTTTCTGATCATTTTTCTTGGAGTAAAAATTTCAGTTATGCAGAGACTGAATTGTGAATACTGAATATTCCATAACACTTGGGACTTGTTTCGATCTAACTTGGAAGGCTTAAAAAGGAAAACAGAAGAATAACATGCATTTAAGTCAGATATAACCTTGGGATGAAAGTTACTTTGAGCTTGCATGGTTAATGCAAAAAAAATAAAAATGTAAAGCAACTAAAATTGAAATACTGCTTATTATTATATTGTGAGATACATAATTTCCAACCCTATTCTTAAGTGCATGTGCGTGAGAGTTAAAAGTAAACGGCAATATGTTTTTAATTATGATTGTTTTCTCATTATATATATTTTTTTTCATCTTTTTTTTTTTCTCACTCCTATCAAGCAAGAAGATATTAAGTAAACGATTTTATTTTCCACCGTCTTTCATTTCCTTTTACCAATTACCAAGCACATTATAGCTAGGCACAGAGTATTATTTTTCAGTAGATTTTTTAATGTATGAAAGAAACAGAGAATTTTTATTTATTTTTCTTGATATACAATAATACAAGTAATACTTTATATGCTACATCTTCATTTCTCTAACTAGGATGTTTGTCGTATTGTCAAAATTGAATATTTCAATTTTATGCAGTAAAGAATGGATGAATATATACTTCAATCTGAAATTATTTTCTTCTTCTTTTTTTCATTGTTTTTCCCGGGAATTTAACTGTGTGAATGCTGAACTAGTTACACAATCTTTTTTTCTTTTTTCTCTGATTAGTAGCTAACCGTATATGCTTTAGTAAAAATATCAAGTTACTGTAACATATTACATAAGAAGGTGAATTGACACTTTATTTGGAGGCAAACATTATTCGCTGGCGTGGCAGAGTTTTTAAGCTGAGAATTCTACTTGATTTGGTGGCCTTTTAATCCACGCGCCACTCAAGAATAGCAAAAAGTTTAAAATATTGGGGCATTCCGAGAATCGAACTCGGGACCTCTCGCACCCAAAGCGAGAATCATACCACTAGACCAAATGCCCAGTTGTTCGTTGAAGACATATATTACTAGTAACAAAACTTGTCTGTGCAAGAAAATAAAACAACGTGACATACGAAATTTCTTTACATTGTTGTTAACAACAATGTGTAACAACGTTGTTAAATCATTAAAGAATTTTGATTATGATAATTAATTAATTATTACCTAAAAAATTTAACTCCTTTAATGTTGTTACACATTGTTAGATGATATTGTAACTTTGATAATAAATCAAAATTAAACTCATAATATTCTAAAACAAAAATGTGATCCAGACACATCATTCCAGCTAAATCCTTTTGTTTTCTTCTGTTTCCATTTTCCTCTTAGCAAAACTAAGGGCTATTTTTTATTTTTTATTTTGGTAGAAAAAACTAACAGCTATTAAATGATTCATGATTTTGCTCAACTCTTTCTCATCAGCTATTTGGTTTTATTATCTATACACTATATGCTCTTGGATCTAATAAAAGTACACTAGAATAGTATATTCACATTCAAGCGTTGGGGAACAATACTATGAGGTAAGGGGCATTAAGGATGGTGAATGTGGCTTGGGATTTTCAAAGTGAATTTATCATGTCAGATTAAATAAGTACAGGATTGAACATATAATAGCATACTAGTCTTAAAAATTGAGGCTGGTATCCACTGAACTCCAAGTTCATTAGCTATTTTATTGTTCTTTTTTTCTTTTTTTCTTTTTTTAACAAAAAGATCAGTCAAACAATTCTGAAAAAACCTAGGTGCCCAATTAGGCCACGAAACACTGATGATTAGTGTGATGAATACAACATATTTAAAGGGAAAATTGCATATTATTTTCCTCAAACTTTTCATGAACTGCAAATTACTCCCTTGTACAATAGAAGGTAGCTATTGACTCCCCTACCCAATGGGTGCAACTCAGTTGGTAACTTGGCGCTGAGTTAGTGGAGTTGGATATGTGTTCGATTCCCGCTGAATGCATTCTTGGGGAGGGGGCTGAACCTTTAGCCATCACTGTTCCCCCGCACTCCGGATTAGTCCCATAGCCGGCTCAAAGAGTCGAAGCTCGTGGGGATACCGGAGGGAGCCAACTCGTCTCAAAGAGATAATTAGGGTTGGGTAACTCCAAAAAAAAAAGCTATTGACTCCCCTTAACTCATCAAACAATGTAAATAAATAAGCCCAGTTAGCCATCGATTCAAACTGAAGCAAAAAAGTTATCACTTTACGTCTCAAAAAAAAAAAAGTTATCACGTTACAGGCATATAAAAACACCAAGATTGTTCTGCCAAAAATAAACCCCTCAATCCCAAGGGAATAACTCACAACCTACCTCAAACTTTATTTTCATATACTATATCCTATTTAAAAATAAATTTTTTCTATTATTTAGCATACAAAACCAAAATTTATACACTTGACTCCTATTCTCAAAAGTTTAATATATTTGTCGTTCATTTAATTAAAAGTACATGATTTTGATCCACTAAAATATAAAAGTAAATATAGCCTTAGTTGTCTACTTTTTTATTGGGTAAAGTAGGCCTTATTATCCATTAATTCCAACTCCAACAAAATTACAATATAACAAATAAACAAAACAATTTATTAATTACTAGTTGCTAAAAATCACATTTCCTTCTAAAGATGTGTCAAGGGTATCATAATTCATTTTCGCACAACCAAAAAGTTGGAATAAAATTGATATTCCTATTTTGTAAACCTAGCAGGATACATGAAAAGAAAATCTAGACATGCATAAACAACGCGCACACTTCATATTCGTCATCTAAAATTCTGTTCTCTTTGACCAAGACTAATTCCTCGAACACTGTCGTAATTAGAAAACCCTTCTAACGATGATTTTATATAATAAAATGTTTCAAATATCCAAAATAAATTACAGGAAAAAAAGATTATTGCAAAACACAAAAGTTATAAAAATAAAATAAAATGCTACATGCATCCAGTAAAAAGTTTGCGGGGAAAAAAAAACGATATTGCCCTGTGCACAAAAGAAACATAAAACATAAGGTTACATATGAACAAAAATTTCGTCTACCAGAAGTGTCTTTCATATCCCCTACAAGTATACTGATTAAACCAGAAAATCAACTGCTCATGGAAGCTTTAAACTAGCAGGCTCGTATTTGCAAATACAGTCGTATATGTTCCCTCCAAGCAACTTTTCAGCCAATCTCTGGTTTTTCACCATGGCAAGCTGCCAAAAATATTTACAAACAAATAAATAAATGAATAAAGACAAAGAACAAGGGGAGAAGAAATGTGTCAAACCAAACACTTGGAGGCTATTTCCCTCTCATAAACCGAGGCATATATATGCAGGCAATGGATATATAAGAATGAGAATGGATCCTTTCGTGTCACATGATCTCATGTGAAATGATATCTACTGTCTATAGACAAATTAATGGCACCCAAATATGACATTGTTAGGAAAGTGAGAAAAAGAAAACCATTGATTTGTCTATGTACAGCTAAGATCATCTCATGTAACCTTATCAAGTTAAACGATACACGAGGGATCCATTCCCATAAGAATGCCATTAACCCGATACATAATATACTAATATTAGCTCGGGAGTAAGTCCAACTGTCAACAATATGCAAGAAGGTTGTCTATCCTGATGTGATAAAGTAAGTACAGCACATAAATAAATTCACAAAGATTTACAAAAACATGAGTTCCTGAAAATACTGATTAGAAGTCGAAGGCTTTAAGGGACCAAAAGCATGTATAATTCTAGATATGGCCGATTGATGAGAAATAGAATCCACATGAAAAATCCTAATCAGTTCATGAATCCATGTAACAACCCCAAGTAGTGGAGTTCTAAACACAAGATAATCATCATAGAAAAGAGGAAAATAGAGTTTAGAGAAGCATTAGCTCAGTAAGCTCTAAGCCAAAACCCAACGATGAAAAATGCCAGATTATATTCATCTGACTGTAATAATAGCTATTAGGTATATAAACCAGATGACGTTACCTTCAAAGCATCACACTTAAACCGAGCATTGAGGTTAGTATGAAGAGCTCTTCCCATCCCTTCCAAAATTATCTGCAGATAACAAAAGGTTAATTAGAATACATTCTCCTAGATATTCTCAAATCCACAGTAATGCTATCAAATAAACGGAATGAGCCTCCCACCAAATCGGCATCTTTTGCAGCAGCAGCCAGCTCAGAGCTGACCTGTCTTAAGTCTATACATGGACTACCGCACCCGTTCTCAACAACCATCAAGGGGACTGAAGACGAATTTCCTTTAGAGCTGTCTGAGGTATTAATCATTACATCCACAATCAAACCTCCAGCTTCTGCAGCTCTCCTTAGAATGTCACAATGCTGTAAACTAGAAGAATTAGTTCCACTGAAGGATTATAAGGTTACAGTAAAATCAACAAATGGACACTGAATATAAGGTCAATGATATTGGAAACTTCTAACGACACTTTTGTAGATACTTGCATTACACAAATGAACTCTAGTCATTCCTTTTTAAATCACAGTGAATGCGAGACCACTTTATTCCATTTGTAAAGGGAGGTTTATATTACAAGGAAAGATAATATAACTATTCCTATTCCATTATATAAGGGACCCCTTAAACATAAAAAATAACTGAGATCAAATTAGAGTTCACAAAACTACACAAACCTTGGCTGCCTCAGCTACAATATCAGGAAGCTCCATTGCAGTCACATCATTTAAAGCAGGAAGTGAGTTTGCAACCAGAACTACCTGTTAGAACACATCCATTATATCATGGTAACAACATAAAATTTAAAGGCATTGGCCAAAGTGACTGTATAGCAGCCAAACGGACAAAGATAAATCATAATTTTGGTAAGCAGGCATATTTCACATTGGAGATTGTCAGCTACGAATAGATCTTAACAATATTATGTATCTACTTCTTACCGAGAATACAACTATGACCAGAACATCTTTAGTAAACCAAAACATTTATTATAATTGCTAATAGTTGAAATTCAAATAAAATTGTTTTTTTTTTTTTTGAAGGGGAACGCTTAAGATCAAATACAAATGTAGTCCAATACAGGAATTTTAAATTTTCCAAAATACATAAAGTGAACTCACTTCAGTTCCACGACGCAGTAGCTCCCTTGCCAGGGGAAGCATCCCTAGAACAATGTCAGCACCTGAATTATCTACAAAAAGTAAAGCTCTTCTATGAGGGGGCATTTTCTTGTCTCCCGTCCCTAACATTCTCTCTTTGAAGACATCAAAATTATCCACCTAGATCAGAAATATTTAGCTTAGTATTCAATTACCAGCTATGATGAATAAATTCAGAAATAAAGTACCCTTATCAGCAGATATGTTAACTCCACCTACCCGCCAAGGTCGCTGCATTTTATTGCGACTCATTCTGTAAATTTCAATAATAGTTCCTTCATGATAAAGATCCACACATGCACGAGATCCCCAGTCAAAAATATTTGCAGCAAGAACACCTTCAATTAGAGTAAGCAGCCTTGTTTCCTGAAACAAAAGGAGGGTTTCAGATTACCTGCAACATGATTTATGAGAGGAACCGTGACTATTTTGCCACGGTTGGCAAAAAAATTTACCAAACTGCCACGCCAACAGTAAATTTTGTCAAAATGCCACGCGGCATATTTCGCTACACTGTGTAGCGAAATATGTTTGCAAGTAATCCGCTACACAGTGTAGAGAAATATGCCATGTCAGGCTGCACAATCAGCAAAAATGACACATGTCAAGCAGGCAGAAATTCACTACACTGTGTAGCGAATTATGCTTGGATTCTGCCTACTTGACACGTGTCATTTTTGCTGCCTGTGCATCCTGATATGGCATATTTCGCTACACTGTGTAGCAAATTACTTGCAAACATATTTCGCTACACAGTGTAGCGAAATATTCCGCGTGGCATTTTGGCAAAATTTACTGTTGGCGTGACAGTCTGGTAAGTAATTTTGCCAAGCGTGGCAAAATGGTCACTCTTCCTTTACGAGAAGCAATGATGGCTTAAGCCCCCATCAGAACCAAAAAGACAAATGAGTCAGTATGGCATTGTCTTTAAGCTAACTCGTTCAATTATATTTCTACTCAAAATTATGGATACATCAAACACATAATTTCCTTAAAAAGAAGTAACAGTAATTAGATCAACCAGTCACAATACAACACATGAAAGAATGAATTGAATCTGAAATATATTGTATATTCAAGTGTATAAGTCTGTACAAGGAGGCTCTCTATTTATAGAGACTAAAAAAACCTAATGGGATGACCTAATGGGCCAAGCCCACAATCTAGACTATTCTAGACTATTCTAATAATAATAAAATAATATTATTTCTAACACTCCCCCTCAAGCTGGTGCGTATATATCAAAAGCTCCCAGCTTGTTACAAATATGATCTATTCGGGGACCTCTAAGAGCTTTAGTGAATACATCCGCAAGTTGATCATTGGAATTGACAAATGCTGTCTCGATCTCCCTTGACTGGATCTTTTCTCTAACAAAACGACAGTCAATTTCTATATGCTTGGTCCTCTCATGAAAGACTGGTTTAGAGGATATATGCAAAGCGGCTTGGTTGTCACAAATGAGCTTCATAGGCCTTTGTTCACAGAGATGGAGTTCCTTCAGCAATTGTCTCAGCCAGATGAGCTCACAGGTTGCATTTGCCATTGCCCGATATTCTGCCTCCGCACTGGATCTGGCGACCACAGTTTGCTTCTTACTCTTCCAAGAGATCAAATTTCCTCCGAAAAGAACACAATACCCTGAGGTGGATCGTCTATCTGAAGGAGAACCTGCCCAGTCAGCATCTGAATAACTAGAGATCTCTGAACTCCCTTTATTTGTATATAATAAACCTCTTCCTGGCGCCTTTTTAATATATCGGAGAATTCTAATAACTGCATCCCAATGGGAGTCACAGGGAGAATCAAGAAATTGACTTGCAACACTCACTGCGAAGGAGATATCTGGCCTTGTCACAGTAAGATAATTCAATTTTCCAACTAGTCGGCGGTAGCGACTAGGATCTGGCAGTGGCTCCCCCTGTCCTGGTAATAACTTAACATTGGGGTCCATAGGTGTATCAATGGGTTTACAGCCTAACATTCCAGTCTCATCTAGGATATTCAGTGCATACTTCCTCTGACAGATGGAAATGCCCCGCCTAGACTGTGCAACTTCGATCCCCAAGAAATATCGAAGTCTGCCAAGATCTTTGGTCTGAAATTGATTGAATAAATGCTCTTTCAACTGATCAATCCCGATCTGATCACTGCCTGTAATGATAATGTCATCAACATAGACCAGGAGATAAACGCACTGGCCAGAAGAGCTATGCCGGTAAAAGACAGAATGATCGGCTTTGCTTCTGATTAAGCCAAAGGATTCAACAATTGAACTAAAGCGGCTAAACCAGGCCCGAGGAGATTGCTTCAGGCCATATAAAGATTTCCGAAGTTTACATATCATTCCAGAACTCTCCCCCTGAGCAACAAAACCTGGTGGTTGCTCCATATAAACGTCTTCCTGCAAGTCACCATGTAGAAAAGCATTCTTAATATCAAGTTGGAGAAGAGGCCAGTGATGAATGGCGGCAAGGGCAAGAAACAGGCGAACAGAAGCCATCTTAGCAACAGGAGAAAAGGTATCCCCATAATTAAGACCAAAGATCTGTGTGTATCCCTTGGCCACTAAGCGAGCTTTAAGGCGATCAACAGTGCCATCAGGACCAACTTTAACTGTGAACACCCATCGACAACCAACAACAGACTTCCCGGGAGGAGCACGAACAAGATCCCAAGTGCCATTATAGAGTGAAGTGCCTGCATTTCATCAAGCATCGCCTGGCGCCACCCTGGATGAGATAGTGCTTCACCTGTGGTTTTAGGGATGGAAACAGAAGAAAGACTAGAAACAAAAGTAAAATGTTGTGAAGAAAGTCTGTCATAACTCAAGAAAGAATAAAGGGGATGAGGATTTCGAGTGGATCGAATACCTTTCCGAAGGGCAATGGGAGGAGTCTCTGATGGAGGATCCGGAGGAGAAGAGCCGACGGGAAAGGGCGATGAGTCATCAAGAGGCAAAGTCGGAGGAGGTGCAGGCTGACGACGCTGGTATGTGAGGAGAGGACGATCTGCAGGTATGGAGGTAATTGGTTGCTCCTCTGGAATAGGGGCGCCTGCAGCTGGTAAAGACAAGTCAAGAAAAGGAACAGGAAGGACTTGATCAACTTGTGACACTGGAGACGGAGTAGAGTGAAAAGGCTGCTGATCAAGGAAAGTGACATCAGCAGAAACGATATAACGCTTGAGATCAAGAGAATAGCAACGATACCCTTTTTGAAAACGGGTATACCCAAGGAAAATACATTTGAAGGCCTTGGATGTCAACTTGTCTTTACCTGGAGTAAGATCATGAACAAAACAAGTACAGCCAAAAATATGTAAAGGCAGAGGATAAGAAGGTGCTCCGGAAAACAAAATACTGTGGGGAACATCATTATTTAGCACAGAAGAGGGCATGCGGTTGATAAGGAAACATGAGGTGATAATAGCATCTGCCCAAAAACGAAGTGGGACGTTCATATGAATGAGAAGAGTACGTGCAGTTTCAACTAGATGTCTATTTTTACGTTCAGCGACTCCATTTTGTTGTGGAGTGTGGGGACAAGTAGTCTGGTGTATTGTCCCATGTGTATCCAAAAATTTAGAAAATTCAAGAGACACATACTCTTTTGCATTATCACTGCGCAAGATTTGAATAGAAGCACCAAATTGAGTTTTTATTTCTGCACAAAACTTTTGATAAATTGAAAATAACTCAGAACGATTTTTCATTAAATAAACCCAAGTGCAACGAGAGAAATCATCAATAAAGGTTACAAAATACTGAAAACCCAAAACTGACATAGTCCGACTCGGACCCCAAATATCAGAATGAACAATAGAAAAGGGAGCAGCAGCTCTTTTATTGACTCTACTAGCAAAGGAAGAACGAGTATGCTTTCCCTGCTGACAAGACTGACAATTCAAAGACTTAAGACCTGACAAAAAAGGAACCATATGCTGAAGCTTCGAGAGACTTGGATGACCCAGACGGCTATGGAGAAGCTCAGGAGACTCTGTGAGAGAGCATGCATGCAGATAGTAGAGACCTCGTGACTCACCGCCCGCTCCAATCGTCTTCCCCGTACCCGGATCCTGCATAGAAAAAGACTGTTTAGAAAAGGTGATAGAGCAAGAAAGAGAATGGGTCAATTGACTAACAGAAATTAAATTAAAAGGAATGCCAGGGATGTAATAAACAGAGGTTAAAGTCAAGAAGGGAGTTGGTTTGGCTTGCCCAATGCCACGAGCAGGAGCCTTGGTGCCATCAGCAAGAGTAACGGAGGGAAGATTATTAGAAAAGGTAAGGGAAGTAAAAAGATCCTTATTACCACAAAGATGATCAGTAGCACCTGAGTCTATTATCCAGGGTCCAAGAGACGATTGAGAAAAACAAGCAACATGATTACCAGTATCTGGAGCAGGTGGCTGAGAAGAACTCTTCTGGAGAAGGGCCTCATAGTCTGCAGCGGAAATAGTCACTGATCCGGTAGAGGGTGGCACAACATCTGTTTGAGCAAAGTTCATATGTGGTGGCTTCAAGTGAAGGTACTTTCTATAACAACGTTCTTCAATGTGGCCCAGATATTGGCAATAATTACACCGAGGCCTTTGTCCTCGGCCACCCTGTCCATACGACATCGTCTGTCCGCGCCCGCCTGGGCCATATGATGTCATGGGCCCGCGACCGCCTTGTCCACGGCCACGACCACGACCGCGTCCACCATTGTTCCAATTACCACGAGAGACTAAAGCAGCAGAATCAGACAAGAGAGCAGTAGAGTCAGTAGCTGGCACGTGTGCGGGGGCCACCTTATCTTGAAGATTCAGAAGGCGCTGAAAGGTCTGGGATATGCTGGGAATCGCAGTACTGGTTAGAATGTTCTCACGAACACTTTCTAATCCGTCAGGGAGACCAGAGAGAGTCACAACTGTAAAGAGACGCTCCACTTGCGTCCTGTACACTGTAGCATCCGCAACATGAGGTAACATAGCCAAAAATTCCTGCATCAAA